ATGTGACTGGGTGGGGCTATAGGGGAAGCTAAGCAATATTCAGGGAACAGGGGATTTCTTTTGATGTTCTACTGGGTGGGGGAAACGATGTTCAGTAAAACAGGGAATTTCTATTGGTGTTCTAGTGGGTAAGGGAAACAATGGTCAGGGGAACAGGGAATTTCTATTGATGTTCTAGTGGGTAAGGGGAACAATCAGATTGCAATCCGGCCTGAAGATCAACACAAAACCGCCTTTCAGACCAGGTACGGTCTGTACGAGTTTGTGGTGACGCCTTTCGGCCTTTGCAATGCTCCTGGCACCTTTCAGCACGCTATGAATCAGATATTTCATTGGATAAGTTTGTCATCGTGTACCTCGATGACATACTTATTTTTAGTAAGACTGTCGAGGAGCACATTGCACACTTGGACAAAGTCCTTAGTCTTCTGCGACAGCACAAGTTCAAGATTAACGGTGAGAAGTGCGAGTTTGGCCGCACCCGTGTCTTGTACTTGGGTCATGAGATTTCTGCGGAGGGATTAAAGCCCGATGACGGGAAGGTGGCCAGCATTCGTGACTGGCCGCGTCCTCAGTCTGTGACTGAGATGAGGTCCTTCTTAGGGATGACCGGCTACTATCGCAACTTTGTGAAGAACTATAGCATAGTTGCCGCCCCTTTGACGGACCTGACTCGCCTTGACACCCCATGGGAGTGGACAGACAGATGCGAGGCTGCTTTCAGACATCTGAAGCATGCGTTGACGCATCATGAGGTTTTGAAATTTCTTGATCCTGACAAGCCATTTGTGGTAACTACGGATGCTAGCCAATATGGCATAGGCGCCGTACTTGCGCAACAGGAGGGGAAAAAGTTGAGGCCAGTAGAGTATATGTCCAAAAATATGCCCTCTCATAAGTTGGCTAAGTCCAGCTATGAGAAGGAGCTCTATGCGATCTACAAGGCACTCATCCATTGGAGACACTATCTCCTTGGGAGGTTCTTCTACGTCAGGACTGATCATCAGACCTGAAGTGGATGAGAACCCAACCTGTGCTCTCCGATGCTCTGAAGCGTTGGATTGAAGTCATAGAGCAGTATGACTTCGAACCCCAGTACATTAAGGGTGAGTACAATAAGGTTGCTACGCTGTCGCGTAGACCGGATTTCTCAGGGGCGCCGATTACTGAGTTCGGTCTTACGGATGATGTTACTCGCTCTTTGGTGGAAACCTATCGCGAGTACTAGTTCATGTCTGAGATCATACGCAGACTTGAGGCGAAGGATGTGAAGACTTCTGCCGAGTTTGAGTTGGTCAACGGCTTGCTGTTCCTTGAGAAGGCAGGGAATAAACGATTGTGTGTCCCAAATAGAGAGTCTTTGCATAGTTTATTCTTAGGAGAGTGTCATGATGCCACCAGCCACTTTGGCTATAAAAAAACAGCAGCCAATCTGCTGCAGCGGTTCTGGTGGCCCACGATGATGCGAGATGCCCAGCTGTACGTGGAGATTTGTCAGGTCTGTCAGAGAGACAAGCCACATACTCAGGCTCCTCTTGGGCTCCTGAAGCCCCTTCCGATTCCGGAAAGACCTGGTGAGAGCCTGTCCATGGACTTCATGGATACGTTAGTCACCAGCAAGAGCGGGATGAGACATATCTTTGTCATCGTGGACAGATTTAGTAAGTATGGTAGGTTGATAGCCATGCCGGAAACAGCAAAAACCGAGTACGTTATCAGACTATTCAAAGAGAACCGGGTAAGAGACTTTGGTCTACCCAAGTCAATTGTGAGTGACAGGGATGTCAGATTTACAAGTGAGTTGTGGAAGGCTGCTGCTGCCGAACAGGGAACGCAGCTGCAGATGACTTCGGGTAATCACCCCGAGGCCAATGGCCAGGCCGAACAATTGAATCGCGCTGTCCAACACCTGTTGCGGTATTACGTCAAGCCCAATCAGGTCGACTGGGACGAGAAGCTTGCTCTCATCGCCAGTCTGTATAACAATGCTGTTCACAGCGCCACCGGAGTGAGCCCTAACAGTCTGTTACTGACATTCAAACCTAGACTGCCTCTAGACTTCTTACTACTTGAAAATCACTCAACTGCTGCACCCGGTACTTCAGAATTTGCATACCGATATGAGCAGAAGATGCAGCAGGTCGTGGAGCAAATGCAGAAAGCTCAGGCGGCAATGATAGAATCTGAGAACAAACATCGCCGCCCTTCTACATTTCAGGTCGGGGACAGAGTCTGGGTTAAGTCCTCAGAACTGGGACAGGAGCACGGGATTTCCCGCAAGCTCATGCCCCAGTACTTTGGGCCATGGGAGGTCTTAGACATTGTCGAGACAGATCCGGATGGGCTGTCCGGATCCCTGGTCATCTCCGCACTTATCCTGTCTTTCGAGGTGGATATCGATGATATCGTGGACCACAGGGAGCTGCCAGTTCCAAGACCAACAGGCAGGGGACGTCCTCCGAAACCGAAGCTGCAGTACCGCATTCGGTTCCGGCATCATACTGATCCGAAGGAGGACCACTGGTTCACCAGGGAGGAACGTATGCAGACCGCTCTACAAGTTGTAGCCCACTATGAGAGATCTCTGCAGAAGGGAAAGCGCCCGATGATTGAAGACTGAGCTTCTCAGAGGACTGTTGAAGCTATGGGGGAGGGAATGTGAGGCCACAGCCTCTATGAGCCCCTTTCAGGCCCTTTTCACGTCGGCCGCCCTAAGTGAAGGAAGGCTCGACGAGGACCCCAGGGCCTCTATTTCGGCCACCGCGCAGCTAAGGAAATTCAGGCAGTTGCGCAGCGCCAGTTCGTTGAAAGAACCCAGGCCCTGGGCCGCCTGTTTGCATGTATCGAAAGCAGGCCCTGGGCTGGATACGGGGTATGGGCCAAACACAGGCCGAAGGCAGTTGGGCACAAGCAACCACCTCAGGCCCTAGGCCTGATCTGTTTCGGGCTGGGCCTCAGCCTGCCGGGGCCTACCGGAAGCTTCTTGGGAAAGGCCCAGCGCAGCCTGGGACAGAACGCAGGCAGGCCACTTCCATATAGCAAAGGGCCTGCCTCCGCATTTGGCATCCGGGTGCTGGCTGCATGCTGCGCAAGCGCTGCTGCGCTGAAGCTGGCTGGCACTCACGCGCTCACGGGCGAGCAGGAAGGAGCAGGCAGCCATAGCCGAGCTGCGCTGCTGTGAGCTGGGTGAGGCGCAGGGTGGTCCTTGGGTGCGAGTGGCATCTGTGTGTTGGGGAATGAGGTTGTGAGTGAGGCGAGAGACATACCTGGTGCTGGAAGCGTGCGACATTGGTCGCTGTATGCTCGTACTTCGGGAAAGCTGTTGATGTCATCTTCAGCATTGTAGACTAGGCTAGATAGGATCTGCCATCTGTAGTCTGGGCGCCGAGCGCCAGATAGGTTCTTCGTTGATGATGATGATGAGACTATACCGGCATTGTCAATTATGAACTTGTGGTGTGCTCTTATTTGGTGAAACTCCTGATGCAATTCTGCTCTTGGTTCGAGGTCACGACTATCTGGTCTTATGTGTATGATGCTGTTTGATTGCTGAAGTTCGATATTGCTCATCTTCCTTGCAGGAACTTCTAATAGGCCCAGTACCCCAGAGAGGCAGTCGTACCGTGGCCTAAGTGAAGCTGTGAGGCCGAGTTGCAAGAGTATATCATTCGGGCACAATGGGTGAAATGGTATCTTAACCAGCAATCATGTGGCTGCTCTGTCCAGAGGGGGTAGGTGGAGCTCCGGCTGAGCAGTGGAGCTAGAGGGTAAGGAAGAAGGCCTCCATGGCTATGGTGTAGTAGTAGTGCTACGCCATGGGCTGTGGTGGTCGAGGGTGAAGCACCCCATGTCAGGCTATGGAGAAGGGAAGTAGAAGGGTAGGATCTGAGAGAAAGAGAGAGAGAGACGAAACGACAGAAGACATTCACCTTTGGCTATGGTTGACCTTCATGTTCACTTCGCTGGTTGGTGCTGCATCTAGAAGACCCCATCTGAGAGTATGGCTATGGCGGAATGAGATGGGAGAGGCATAGTAGAGATTGCGTTGTACCCTGAACATCTGTGATGAGCATGGATGTTCCACCACAGTGGCCATGCAAACGAGGACAGAGAAGTGAGGTTATGGCCAAAAGGAGGGCTCTTTGCCTGCTGGCAATAAGGAAGAATACTCGGACATGATTCCTTTTCATTCAGTCATTTCAACTCATTTGTTGTTGTATTTAGTTGATCGTGAGAAGAGTAGTAGTAAGGGAGAATAAGATGACAGAAGAGAAGTGAGGGGAAAGACATTGGTTTGACTTGTGTAATTCTTCTTCTTCTTTTAATTCTTTTCATTCTGTTCCGCTCTTTACCTCTCTCCACGTCTCCTTTGGAGTTTCAGCAAGTCTTGCATTTTCTTGCAATTTGAGTTCTGGATTATGAATGCAGTCGGATCGTAACATGACCGTGCCACTCAGGCAGCGACCAGGTGGCAAACCAATGATGTGCCCACAATCTTTTTTTTTTTTTTTTTTTTTTTTTTTTAATTTGGACCATTTCTCGATTTATGCGTGTCATCCTTGTGCAGGGGCCATGCTAATCTTCTCTGTATCGTTCCAATTTTATGATGTGCCCGCAGTCTGTTTTATGTTGAGGTACCAATTATGGGCGAGAGCTAAGCCTGAGGCTGATCTTGGGCCTCCTCGGTTCACCTGTTTCTACTGTCGAAGTTGCAAATAGAATCATAAGGGCTAGTGTAGAACACTGTCCAGGTTGCTGCAAGAGGTGCTGAGCCTGAAAAGACCATGTCGAACCTGTATGGGTTGCATTCTGTGACACCAACAAATGCTCGTGCTGTTGTTTATTTCATTGTGATTTTTGAATCTGTCGCATTCCCATATTCTGGGTGAAATGAGTTAGTTTTTTGCAATTGGCGCTCAATGTTTATCGGCAACATTCTGTGGCACCAGTACATTGAGTTTGCCATGTGTGCGCATGGACAATTGTGCTTATTGCAACAGGTTGTTGTGAGACTAACAGAAGAGCAGCTCACAGAGCGGTTGCCGCTGCTGCTGCCACCTTTGTATGAAGCATTCGGGAGTCCACATGCAGCTGTTCGAAAGGTAATGAAGACTGTCGCTTGGTTGCTGAACCCCACTGTAAAATCAGACGTTGCTATCAAGTCTAAACAGTGCTTGCTTTGTTCTTGCTGTGCTTGTGTGTTTACAGTAACCCCACTCCAAAGTTGTAAGTCTGCTATCAAGCCTAAACAATGCTCGTTCCCCACTCCAAAGTTGTAAGTCTGCTATCAAGCCTAAACAATGCTCGTTTAGTTCTTGTTGTCCTTGTGTGGTCACATTGAGACTATCTGTAGCAATTTCGCCAGCAACAAAGATGTGACGGGTACATGTGTGTACTTATAACAAAGGGAGAGATGTGACTGTGTATGTGTGCTTGTGACAAACAGAGATATGATGGTGTGTGTGGGAGAGAGAGTGCAGGTCTGTGCGTGAGCACATGTGCACGCGCGCGCATGAGGGGGAGAGAGAGAGAGACAAAAAAAGAGAGAGAGAGAGAGAGAGAGAGAGAGAGAGAGAGAGAGAGAGAGAGAGAGAGAGAGAGAGAGAGAGAGAGAGAGAGAGAGNAGAGAGAGAGAGAGAGAGAGAGAGAGAGAGAGAGAGAGAGAGAGAGAGAGAGAGAGAGAGAGAGAGAGAGAGAGAGAGAGGGTGTGGCGGGGTGGAGCATCCAACTCACTTCATTCTTTCTCTCTTCTTCCTGCTCCACTTGTTTGGTGTTAAATGCTGTGCCACAGGAATGCTTATCAGCCTACCTGATCAAACTACCTCCTCCTCATCATCATCATCATCATTCTCATCCTCCTCCCCCTCCTTTCGTCTGCTAGTGTACGGATCCTAGGGATGGGCTACAGTGTGGAATTGGACCTGGTCTAGGTTGGGCAAGGCAGTGTTTGGCTACCAGGATTGTATCACTCTGGCCTATTTATTTTCTTTGCGGCAAAAGGCAGTATGTTCACCCGCTAACTAGGCCCTAGGGAGAGTATATAGGCAGGCCGTTAGATCTAGGGTGTCTAGGGGCCCAGTCGGACTATAGTGGTGGCACTCGTACCTTATTCTAGCACTTGAACTTTGGACATTTTGCTTTTGACCCATTGCTGGTTCTCTGTGTTGTATTGTGATTTTCTTGCCTGTCTGAGAAGTCTGTTTGTCTGAGAAATGCTGAAATCCTGAGCCTGATTGAGGAGACTTTGTTATAGTAAACCATCAGTACTTCCGAGACTCTGCATGCCGATGCTTGTTTTTCTGTCGCACACCGATTGTTATCGATCTGATGCAGGTGTGAAATCGATTCTTTTTGGCTGGTGCCTCCGGCCTCTTCGTTTCAGTAGGCCGAGCCCAGAAAGATGCAAGGCATTAACGGTCGCATCCAACGAATTAGCTGGGAGAAATATTGGTGGGTTAAGTCCATGGTGTGACCCTGTCCTTGTTTTTGAACTGAAAAAAATTGGAATTCATTAATAGCTATACAAAATTCAACAATTAGAAATCTTTTATAGAAAAAAACAGCAACACATGCAATACTGTTGGTCCGTAATTGAAAGGGGGTTAACCCCGTCGATTTATGAGGAGTAGCCCTATGAATTCCGACGATCTGATAGACGATTTCGGGCCAGGGACGTGTGTCGTTTGCGGCGAGATTTCTTCGAAGGGCCGTTTTAATCATGCGATTGGCATTTTCAGCCAACCAATTGGACTGAGACATGTGCGGGGTGGTGTGTCGGGGTGAAACACCCCTTCGTGACAAAAGTTTTTTTTTTTTTTTTTTAATTTTAAAGTTTTAAACAGAACCTCGTGGTTCTGGCTCCTGCCATTCTGGGGAGCAACAGTCCAGTTCCTTTCCCCCGGCAAGTCGATAAGTGATACATAAGTGACACACACACGCTCCCCCCAATTATGGCTGGGAGGACCGAGAGGACGGCATTGATTACCTCCCCCAGGAAAGATATACCACCCCTCACCCCTGCGTAAGTTAGCCTGTACTATGTCCATTACCAGTCCCTATGATCCCGGTTGTACTCCTCTCAGTGATGAGACTGTCGGATTGGTGTGTTTTACCAGAGTTTATCGGGACACATATGAACTCTTGAAGAACAATAAAAAAACTTATTTGTCTAATTTCTGTATAAATCCTAAACCCTAAACCCTCCGTTCTAATGTTACTTTGCTATAACAATTCGTAGTCCGAAAGGTAAAACCTGTAGCGATCTAAAAAGGAGGGTAATTTTATCCTATCCTCGTTTGTGTCCCTCTTAAAGTGTCCTTCCTTTTATACCAATCCCAACTTAACTTCCTGTGATTGGGCCTGAACTAGTAACATCAGGTTTTCTGTCTCTTCCTGTTGATCCCTCTGCTGGGTCCCTGCAATTTTCCAGAGTAGCCTTGGAATATTGCCTTCAATGTCTCCTAGCTTTCCTTCTCCCAGTCTTTCTTTTTTTAACTTGTCAACAATTTCCTGTTGCCTTGTGGGGTCTAATTTTATGAGCTTTGCCACTTTGTCCCAATCTGCGTGATATTCGTCCTGGAGTAGGTGAAGGAGATTCTGCCAAGCTTCTGGCTCTGATGTAGATTGAGAAGTTATAGTCTCCTTGCACCTTCTTTTCCATATTATCCAAAGAGTAAGAGGTCGGAGTCTCTGAAAGAAGGTCCTTTGCCACACCATGGTTAGGTTTGGCTCCTGCAGCACAGTTAGCCGTGTGATGTTGTTGCCTGGGAGGGTTGTTCCTATTAGAGAAGCCCACAACGATTCTGCTTTCTTCCAAATCTTGGTCGCCTTTGAACAGGAAAGCAAGCAGTGTAGGAGATCTTCAGGGACTCCCTCCTGACAAATAGCACAGAGGTCATCTGGTGGTTGTCTATCCCCTAGTGAACGCCGCCTGTTTAGCCACTCATTGACTGGAAGTGCATGATAGTAGATGAGCCATTGCATACTCCTGATGCGGGTGTTTCTGATTGCTAACGGGACTTGCCATGAGATCTGAGTCCCGGTCCCTAAACCATCCGGAACATGCTTTTGCCATCTTGTTAGAAGTGTGTCACTTCTATTGACTGATCGCCTCCGCAGTTTGTATCCAAACCTGGTTGTGTGATCAAGGATACTTGTTCTGCGTTCTACCGTTGTTTGAGCTGAAGAAGTTTTCCATGCCCATTCTGCTGGGTCAAATTCGAGGTCTTGCAACTCCTTCGTGGGATTGAAGATTCTATACTCGTCATCTTCAATCACGCTCACTTTCTTCATTGTAGACATCCTGGCCATTACTTTAGCTTCACTTGTCTTAGCGATGACGCTAATAATCTGTCCCGGTTGCTGTATGTTATGAATTGACCACAACGCCCATTTTCCTGTCGGACCTGTGCGGTTGACGAAAGATAGGGCCACTGTCGAGATAGCTTCCCATCTTCTCATAGCCCACTCTCCTGCTGTCCATTTGGAGGGGGCCTGTAGAATCTGCAACCATTCTAGGGGAATTGTTTGATGGAGGGCCGTGAGATTATCTAGCAGATTATGGCAACCCTTGAGCATATCCCAGAGTTCCGGACATGTTTTCCATCGGTTGTGCTGGCTGTTCCAAATGTGACTGATTTTCCAGACGCCCTTCTCCACCTACTTCATTCAGCGTCCATCCTGGGTCATTAACGTCCAGGGTTTATCAGCTTGATTTTTTATCCATTGTTTGCAGAAGAGCGGTTGCCTTAACACTTCTTCCCTATTTGTTGGCCGTCGCGTCTTGGTTTGGAGGATCTCCCTCCAGGATTTGATGAGGTACATCCAGTAATCCTCCTGTGAGGCGTGTTGCAGTTGATGGTGATGCTGATGCGGTATTCCTCCGCGGACGTCCAAATCGTCCAAAAGTATCCTCTCATATTAGCCGGGGAAGAGGCCTTTGGGAGCTGTCTGATTCTGTAGAGTGCCAAGGAATTCCACGTTAGTGTGTGGTTAGTGAGCAGCTTCACTATCCACTTGGTCTGCAAAGCTTTGATCTGTGGGACTGGGTCCAGAATTCCTAGACCTCCTCGTCCTTTCGGTTGTGTGAGATACCCCAAGCAACCCAGGGAATGAAACTCTGGGTAGAAGGATTACCAGTCCACATATAAGTTGTAGAATGCGTTTTGAGAGCCTTTGTCATTCTGGACTCCAGTGTATGCATAGAGAAGATGGAGGCATTGAGTACCAGTGCTCTTCCAAATACTGAGGTGTAGATATTGGTCCAACTATCCAATGTCCAAATCATACGCGTTAGCATCTCTGGAGCCGTCGCTTGATCAGGTCCTGCGTTTGTGAGATTGATGCCTAGGAACCTCAATGGAGTCTTGGGATCTTGCCATGTAAACCCATCGGGCGTGATGTCCTCAGATGGTTGCTCCATTTCCGACAGCCACCAACCGGTAGTTTTCTGCCAATTGACATTCATTTCTGCTGCCAGCTGGAAGGCTTGCATAGTACGTGTAAGAGCTTGAAAAAAGGCGTTGGAGGCTCTGATCAAGACTGTCAGATCGTCAGCAAAAAGGAGAGTGGTAGGTAAGCATACCTGATGAGAGGGATAAGTCGGTTTCGCAACTAGACGCTCTATTGACGGGTCCTTTCTCAACAATGACACTATCGCCTCCATAGTGATTGAAAGAGGGGGGCTGCTAGTCGATCTTCGTGACAAAAGTTGTTCTAACCCCCCATTAAATTCCGACCCATTATCCGTTAGAATCTCCTATGTGGCTAAATGGGGATTGAGGAACCGATCAATATAACAGGCTATCTCAGAGGCCTTACGTGTTTTGCAAGGGTAAACCTCTATCCATTTCGCAAAATGGTCAATAAATACTAATGCAGTGACCCGCTTCATATGCCTCGTGGAATGACTAAGGGCCAGCCCAGGCCACAACCTGGGCTCAGGCCCAAAAGCAAAAGACCCCCAGAAGTAGTACTAGGGCCTGAGCGCTCGACAGTTGACTTCATTCAACTGCCTGAGGCCCAACAGTCAAAGTCTGGACCCAGCCCAGACCGCCGGTCAGACACACACTTGTTTGTATGCAGCATTCGATCCAGGTGGAAG